ATGATATCATCACTAATATATCCTTAGTCATCACTAAATAGCACAAAACATGGACACCTCATGCTACCAAAAAGGGAGAATAAGTTTCCCTCACTTGAAGAAATTGCTTACGGCTTTTCGATATAATTGGGCAAAATTATATTAATTGCCCACGGTAATTTATACATTAAGCATGATTAATATTTAATTAATCATAATCTATATTCTTAGTTAATTAGCTAACATGACACTTAATTTCCAAAATTATTTCCGAACGTAAACGAGACGTCGAAAATAATTTCGGATAATCTCGACTGGAATTATTCATTCCGAAAAATAATACTCGACAATAATACTCGACAATATTACAAAAATACAAAAGTATTTCAATTTTAATGAAATGTTTTAGTTTTAGATTTCTTAACTTATCCTTATTCGTATGGAAATTCTATGTACGTAGCTGAGGAGTTTATGTCTAGCGGTTTCTCGGAGCTCAACAAACAATTTCTTGCGCCCAAGAAATGATTTTTTGAGCACAAGAAACGATTTCTTGTTGTCAAGAGGCGATTTCTTGAGCTAAAGATACGATTTATGGGAATGAAAGGAAAAAAATGTTCAAGAAACCTGCAAGAAACAAGTTTCTTGTTCAAGAAACTCGTCTTTTTTTCATGAAACCCTAAACCCTAAACCCTAGATTCTTTTTCAAGAAACTTGTTTCTTGTTCAAGAAACCCGTTTTTTTTTCAAGATACGCGTTTTCATTGTACCGTTTGCTCAAGAAACTTGTTTTTCTTTGTACCGTTGTACAAATTGCAAATTACTACTTTCAAAAAAAGTGATCGCTACAGAATTTGTAACATGTCGCATTTTTTCAGAGGAATACTAATGGCTTGACATCTGAGAACAAGGAACTTAAGCTCAAGTTACAGGCTATGGAGCAGCAAGCTCACCTTAAAGATGGTGCGTGATTCTCTCAATTCTTTTTTGAGTTGATTTTGGTATTACCCATGAAGTTTAACTAATTACAAAAAAAAAAAAA